AATTCGTCGGCCTTTTCGTTGCACTGATATCCCTCATGGCCTGGAACCCAGGCTAAGGTCACCTTATTTTGACTACTTAGCTCTGTCAGGTCTTCTAGACAGTCTTTCACCAGTGGTGATTTGATTTCTGGTGAGAGAATTGCCTTTAGAGCTGCTTGGCTATCAGTATATGGCAATAGTTTTGCCTGATACTTGCTGATTTAATATTTCTCTTGCACAGTATTGTATGGCTATTAGCTCAGCCTGGAACACTGTTGCATATTTTCCTAAGCTTAGTGAAATCGTTGATTTCGACTTAGGTCCATAGATTCCAGCACCGGCTCGTTCCTTGGTTTTTGAACCGTCTGTGTACCAGACGAGTTCAGCCTGTACGGGAGGTCCCTGTTTCCAGGATTCTCGGGCTGGTATTTGAATTTGAAAATTTCTTTCAAATTTGTATGTGGTTATGGCTCTATCAGTAGGCATAGCTAGAATATTATCCCATTTTACTTGCTGATATAGCCTTGTGTGGTCGGCGCTATGTAGTTGGCTTATTGGGTTTTGTCCCTGCATTAGCCTGTGAATAGTTGACCTGGTTTCTCCTTGTATGAAGATGTGCAATGGCGTGAGATTTAGTAATACCTCCATTGCTGTGGTCGGCGTAGTGCGCATGGCCCCAGTAGCACTTAGACAGGCAAGCCGCTGAATGCTAGTGAGTTGGCCTATTGCACTTGCCTGCGCAGTTTTGGTTACCCACGCCACTGCGCCATAGGTTATCATGGGTCTTATTACCCTTGTGTATAACCATATGGTCATTTTGGGGTTTAGACCCCAGTTTTTCCCACATATTCTTCTACAGCTTACGAGAGCTATTGTAGCTTTATGTGTGAGTTTTTTGAGATGTTGATTCCATGTCAGCCTTTGGTCAAATATGACCCCGAGGTATTTGGCTTCTGTGACGAATAGGATAACTGTGCTGTTTAGTACTAGTGGTCTTAGACCTGTAAGTACCCGTTTTTTTGTGAATGGTACAACTGTTGTTTTTTGTGCGTTGATGGACAATTGTTCCTTTTTGCACCAGTTGTTCACTATGTTTAGAGCTGTTTGAGATCGCTCAAACTGTACCTGCAAATCGCCCCCCGACGATGATTGCTAGGTCGTCTGCGTATCCTAGGCACTGGTAGCCTTCTTTGGATAATATTTTGAGTAAGTCGTCCACAAGAACTGACCACAGCATTGGAGATAGTATTCCTCCTTGTGGGCAGCCCCGTGTAACTTTTGCCTGTATGGTTGCCTTTCCTAGAGTGGATAAAATAATCCTGTTCTCTAGACAGGCAGTGATCCATTGGCATATTGTTACTGGGACGTTTCTCCCTTCTAGAGCCTTGGTTATTGACCTGGTTGAGGCATTGTTGAAAGCTCCTTCAATATCTAAGAAAGTGGCTATTGCGATTTCTTTGTCATCTATTGACTTTGAAAGCAGCCTGTTTAGATCGTCCAGCGCTAAAGTCTATTCAAATTTAATTTACGCCTGATGTAAACAGAAGCAGGTGGACGCTAAAATTGAGCAGGGCAGTATTTTACTTTTCCGTCTTGCAAAAATGTAAAATAAAAGAGTGTAATTGTGAAATTATTTTTTTATTACGATAAAAACATTTTGTAGAGTAAAACTATAAAATAAATGCCATACACGGTCTCCCAGACTTTAGTGACATTTCTGGCCGAAGATAGGTGAGCGACATAAACTGCGTTAACCTGCAATACAAATTAATAAATGTATTTGACTTTAAAAGAGATGGTTGCATTATATTTAGTTCATTACATATGTCTACTGTGATACAGAGCATTAAAACAATCATATTATAAAATTATATTGTACAGGGTGTCCAAATAATTGAAATTCTTTAATATATATCTACTAAAAGCATTAAAAAAACTTTTAATATAAGAGGTATTTGGTATTTGATTTAAAATTGTGCATCTTAAAAAGAAACCTTTTGTAATTTTGATAACTTTGGTTCTTTATTGTTCTTGTTCTACTAGTATTTAGATTAGACAACTTGTACCCTGTATTGTAGCAATCTTCCTTACTTGACTTAGCACTATTCTGAATCGGATAAATTAGTTAGACTTGAAAGGCTATCTTCATTAATCAAAATTACAAGTGGTTCTACCTGAACCTCTATAATATTATCCAACTCCCACATTTTTACTTCAACTTTTTCGCAAACATGGTCGATACACTTTTTCCATTTTTCTAGAGAAATTAATAATAATACTTCTTCAAAAAAAATTTTAATGTCTCCAGATTTAAATGTTGAGTTTTTATCTGCTACGTATTGTTTAACGTCAACCTAGATTAATTCAATAGGGTTAAGTTCACAATGATACGGAGACATGTGAAGTATTATGTTGTTTTGCTGCTTAGCCATTTCATCTATTACATACCTATCATAATGTTCATGTTGCTTACCAAGTTTTAGAAGTTGGATCTTAAGCATTTGGTAGTCGAATATATTTTTTGCTTTTCTTCTCTGTACCGTTTTATTTTTTGTGGCGTAGGACGAAACAATTTCATTTTTGTCTAAAAGCAAACTATTTTTTCCTCGAGTTTTAAATTTAAAATTAAGGATTTTGAAAAGCTTGTAAAATGTAGCTCGCTTAAAAGTAGACAAATATGGATCATCATTCTTATAAAACCTTATCAATTGTTGGAAGTTAATTTCTAAAGAAGAATTGATGTACTTTGCGCCTTATTGCATTTTTATCAAAATCATCCACGGAGCCACTAATTTGTTTATAACGTAGCTTTCTTTTTGGTTCAGAAAATTTATGAATCTGCCTATACTCCTTCATAACATTAAAAACGGTTTTAGCGCACATCCCTGTTTTATCAACAACAATCAGGGTTCTATAAAATTTAATGCTTATAAATATTAAGAACCATTTCTTTAGTACGGATGACCAAATGTCCCTTTTTCAGTCGCTTTTCAGAAGGAGTAAAAACATTTTTCTGGACTTCATCTGCTGTATCTGTGGAGGACATAGTGTTACGCAGCAATTACAAAATATAGTCAATTAAATGTCCATAAAATAGAGTAAAACATGTTCAAACTAACAACAACCACAAAAACAAAAAAAAATAAATAACACAATATATGTAAATCTAAACTATAATATAATGAATTATAATCAATCAAACATACAAAATGTCTAAACACAGTGAATGCTACCAAAACGCCGTTTATAATTATCCAAATTGAACTGAATTCGACTCTGACAAAAAATATTTGCGCGACGTCTAAATGACAAACGACCGATTAACCAATAGAAGCGCAAAAAAATGTCACGTGAGCTGTTGCTGGATGGGAGAAATTGTTTTGACGCGGCGTAAATGAAATCTGAATAGACTTTAGGTCAGTTGATTTTCCTGGCTACTTGACTCTCTATAGGATTGTTCAAAGTATTGTGTATCATCGGAAGTATTCGGGAAAATGACGTAGTTGCCGGACCATCGAACGCGCGATTTTAAAAATGAACACTATTATAAATAACTGCTCCGGCTTATATTTCGTATAAAATAAGAATAGCAATAGTAAATGTTATGTAATAAACGCCTTTTTTTTAATATGAACCGTTTAAGGTACTTATTTCGAAATAAATGGGACACAATAAGAAACATCTTTATTATTGGAATTCACGTAACAACAATTTGTTCCTCCTTCCTCCTTGTTTTCCAGTGTGTTCTCTACCACTTTTTATTAATTGATGGAGAGCTGTTTCAGTTGATTTCCCTGCACTATAGGCGTATTGGTCTTGGTATATTGGCCTCTGAACCAATATCCTGTCTCTAATATGTATATCTGGCAGTTTTTCCAAAGTTTTAAGTACAAAGCACAAGACTTATTGGTCTTAGGGATTTTGCTTCCTGTCCCATTTTCCCAGGTTTTGGTATAACAGTTACCCTAATATTACTCCAAACTTTTGGTATGTGTCCAAAGGCCAGGCTACTTCTGAGTATGTTACAGAGGCTGCTGTATAAAATATCAGGACCTCTTTGTAACATTATTGGATAAATCCCGTCCATGCCCGGTGATTTATAAGGTTCGAATGAGCTAATTGTCCATTTCAGTTTATCATAGTTCACCACTTGTTTGGCTATCCTCCAATCTTCCTGGTTGGCTCTATTATGAGCTTCCAGTCCGTTTAGATTCTGGTTAGCCGGTGTGTGTGCGCTATGGTTTGAAGAGTTCCCTTACTGTTTCCTTCCCTGTGATTGTGTACTCCCCCAGTTGTAAATAAAACACGACAAATTCTTGTGAAACTTGATAAACGACTGACTTTTATTGCTTTAGAAAAAGATAGATATACCTGAAAAGAACACTTCTGGAGAATAACAATAGATGGCGGAACATGTACTGAATTGAAATATATTTTTAGATACATTATTTCAATAGTACAGTCATAATTTAAGAGGAATGAATATTTTTAAAACAAAACTTTTTAACATCATTTGGTAATGCTTGCTTCACACAACAACTTTGCACAAAATGGCACCTGGTACACTCACTTTCAATGTTATCTCTCTGTGTCATTAACAAAATAAGACTGAGATATGCAACACTCAATGAGCCACTGGTAGGTACTAACAATGATGCCAAGTGATATTTTATTTTAGATTTGCAGACTTTTCTTGTTTGTGATAGTATAAAATTGAGATGTCGACTTTTGGAGCACTGTCATCTAATGGTATTCTTACCTTAATATTGAAAATAATACAGTATAATAAATTTAAATTTTTTGGAATTACTAATATGTTCTGGACCTCAGAAAAAGTTGTAAAATTAAATTTACAATTATTTCAATGTAATAAATATTCCAACAAAGTTTGACAACTTTTGTAATTAATGTAAATTGATTATCTCTAATGACTGGCCTATTAACCGCTTGGAGACGCCATGGACTCCACCCGAAACAAAGATGTTAAAAGAAACATTTTGTCAATTTTTTTTTTCTTTTAGGAAATATGAAGAAATTTATCCTCCAGAAATCACAGAATTTGTTTACATCACAGATGATACTTATAATAAACGACAAGTTATTCGAATGGAACACTTAATTTTGAAGGTCTTAGGATTTGATCTTTCCGTACCGACACCTTTAACTTTTATTACTGCAATGTGCGTTAGTAATAAGCTGAGTGATAAGACAATGTATCTTGCCATGGTAAGTAAACAATTTTTAAATATATATTTTAAGAATATTATAAAATTGTTATTATTTATTTAAAAATGTTCAAAAAAATACAAATTCCTTATAATAAATTGTTCAAAACATTAAATTTTGTGTCTTGTAAAATCCATTTTTTGTGTTAATGAAATTGAGTCAATATTGAAACATGAAACCTACCTATTTTAATTTTGAACAATTTTAGGAATAATTATTTTAGAAAATGATTATTTTTTTTACCAATTTCTGAAAAGAATCAAATATTGGACATTTAAAATTAAGTTAAAACAATTAATAATGGGGATCTGAATAATTGATTAGCTTTGGAGCAATGAAAATTCAGTTAGCGGAAAATTTCAACTGACTTTATAGACTACCAGTTTCAGTAAAAAGGAATAAATCTTTGTAAAATTCAGGGTTAAAATCTATGTTTTCGTGCAAAATCGAATACATCCACTAGTACCTATAGTAGCGTCGACTTCAGGCATGTTTTGAGCTTCAAAATCAGCTCAAAGAGGACCCTGATACCGATTATTTCCCCCTACTCACCGGATCTAACACCATGTGATTTTTTTTTATTTTTCATATTGTTTAAACCATTTACAAAATACATAAGTTTATAGTATAAAAAATATACATAAATATAAAAATACTATGTAGACCTAACACATTTTTTTACTTCGCCACTCTTTTCACTTGATACAGGGAAGAGTTAAAAATATCAATATTCTGTTTTGCTGCAAATGTATTAGCATTTTTCAGAAGTCTGGTCATACCAATTCCTGAGCCATAGTTCTATGAGCTTTCAAAGCAAATGTGGAGCTACCACGCAACGGCCTAAGTGGGATATAAAAATCTACACTTTGCAAGAGTTCAGGAGAATCAACAAGGTTATTTACAAGTTTAAAGATAAATAGAAAATCAATAAATTCTCTTCGGGAAGCTAACGTTTCATTATTTGTTGTGGCAAGCATATTTGTATAAGAGTATGGTAATGACAATTTAAAAGAACAATACATTAAAAATCTACGCTGTACTCTTTCAAGCTTTTCAATATGAATTTACGCATATGGTGACCAAATAACAGAACAATATTCCAAATGTGACCTTATGAGTGAATAAAATAAGATTTTAATTGTATGCAAATTCACAAAGTCTGCCGAGTGCCTTCTCACGAATTCTAATGGTTTTAAGGCTTTCCCAGCAACATAATCGACATGCTGAGAAAAAGACAGATTAGATTGAAATATGACCCCAAGATCTTTTATACTGTCAACTTTATTAATACGATTTCCATGCAACTCATAAGTATGATTAGTTAGGTTTATATTAAGCCCCTTATAAAAAGACACTACCTTACATTTTAAGGGATTAATTAATAATCCATGCAAAAAGCAGTATTCGTTCAAACTGTCTAATTCTGCAGTATGAGACAATCAGAGGGATCTTTAATGATATTATACAATTTGACATCATCAGCATACATTAAAACTTTAGTATCATTTAATTGTTTCTCCACATTATTAATGTAAATGCTAAATAACAATGGGCCCAAATGTGATCCCTGAGGGACCCCTGATATCGCTGCATATTCACTAGAAATGGCATTTTTAATTTTGGCACGACAAATACGATCTGTAAAATAAGAAATTAGCCAGTTCAAAGCCTGTCTATAAATTCCTAGAGCATACAATTTACCCTTTAAAATACTGTGATCAATTCGATCAAAAGCTTTCGTCAAATCTGTATAAATTGCATCTACTTGAAGACTATCTTCTACAGCAGTAGCAACATACTCGGTGAAGAGCATCAAATTGATCGTAGTTGATCCGCCAACGTGAAAGCTATGTTGTTTGCTACTAATCACATTTGAAAGCTTTTCACTTAGTTGGTCATTAACAATACTCTCGAAAACTTTAGGAATTGACGATAAACTGGTAATCGATCTGTAATTAGTAATAAGCGAAGGATCTCCAGACTTTAACAAATGATGTTTTCCACTTGATGGGAAAAACGCCTTCAGTTAGCGATTTATTCAAAAACTGATTTGTAATCTGATTTGGTCCGGGGCTCTTCCCAGTATCAAGTGAATTTAAACACCCTAACACATCGGTTATAATTATAGTAATATTATTAACATTAATAAAATCATTATCAGCACATTTAAAATTGTCAGTGTCATTCTGATCAAAACTGTAAACTGAACAAAAATATTTAGCAAAAGCGTCTGCAGTTGACTAATTTTCAGTAAAAACTTTATCTTCTAATCTCATTGTACTAGGCATATCACAATTATGACGTTTAGAGTTCACAAACTTCCAAAATAGTTTGGAGCTAAAATTAATCAACATTTCGGTATCCTGAACATATGATTGATAACATTCTTTTGACAATAATTTACAGCGTGATCTTAAATTTTTATACTCATTATAATGGTGATTAGAATTGCTTTTTTTATATCTCAAATGAGCTGCTTTTTTTCCGATATCAAGTTTTTTATTTCAGTTGTAAACCAAATGGGAAATTTGTTATTGTAATTAATTTTTTTCTTAGGTACAAATAATTCTAAATTACTATAAACAATGTCATAGAAAATATTAACATCATTGTGAATAAAATACTGACCCCAGTTAATATTAATAAAAACATCATTTAGGCTAATTGGCCAAGTTAAAATCATAAACATTTTCATTCACATTATCATCTTCATTAAAGTTTAAAGACAAAGACAACTCAAGAGGTGGATGGTGTAAACTAGGTTTCAATAGAAAATAATCAGATAGAGACACATAACATCTAAGTACATTACTAAAAACTAAATCTAAAACTCTGTTGTTACCATTGTGGATTTAATTTAACTGATACATGTTGCTGAGCGCTAAGTACTCAACGCTTGTGCTCTTGGACCTCCATTACTGGCTATAACACCATCAATTTCATTTAGTCAACTTCCAGAAGATTGTAATCGCCGACAAAATATATATTCTTGTCATCATAACTTTCACAAATATGTTCAACAGTTTGACCATGATTCCACAAGGGAAGAAGGTGGGATATACACGGCACAAATGCAACATTCATTTTGAATCGAGACACAAATTCGTTCACAATAAACTGAACCAATGGGGAGTTTAAATTTCACAGAATCGATGGTATTTTTAATGGCAATTAAGATTCCTCCTCCTCCTCTAGATTTACCTGTCAGTTCTGTATAGCGATCGCATCTGTATAACGAGTAACCGGCAAATCCCAACTCTGCGTCCTCAATGCAAATACACAGCCAAGTTTCAACCAAAACAATGACATCGAAATCATAAGTAGACAGAGCAGTAACAAATTCCTTGGTTCTAGTTCTCATACCACCAACATTTTGATAATACAGGGACAATTGATTTAGTCTAAAAAATGTGCATTCTTATGGTTAGATGCATATCTAGGAGCACGTGGTAAAAATTCGCTCACTGTAGCTTGACAGGGCCATACATTAGGATGCAGCAGTGCATCAAACAGAGATTGTCGTACACTCACTTTAAATGAACAATAATAGTCATTAGAAGTTAAAGTTTTGACCGAAAAATCAGTTTTCTTTAACGAATGCTTTTTCGTTATGTAATCTCCAACCTGTTGTTCAGTTACTCCAGGACTAACATTATTTAAGTGGATATGTTTCATTCGTTCGACTCCAGTGAATCCACCGTTAGTATCCGTGCCTAAAACTTCCTTTGTGGGAGTGGATGGAACGCCTTTGATAACATTAACGTTGGGCGATTTTTTATTAAACATATGTGTCTTGTTGGGTCTGAAGTTATGGTGATTAAGCAGTTCTTCAGCTGTATTGCTTGACATTGGAACAGATGACGGCTTCACAGAACTTGACTGAGAGGTAGGAACAGTTGTATTTGCAGAAAATGTATTAGGCTGATTGGTTAATAAATGAACCATTTCTATATTGCTTTCACGTAGCATGACAATTTCCTCTTTCATTGCATCCACAGATTTTTTAAAATCTGCTCTAATTAAATCAATCGTATCATCAAAATGCTTTTGGATCGACTGAATTTTTTCTTCTAAAGTAAAATTCTGCTGAGCATTTGTATCATCACAGGTTTCACAAATAAATCTCAATTTTCTCGAACCAGACAGTTGCAAGATTCTTATTTCTGTCGAGTTTACACCAGAACACATCTGACAATATTGGGCATTACATTTATTACATTTAATTTTCTTATTTAATTCTTCTTTGGACATTACAGTATCACATTTGACACAATTCATTTTCATCAAGAATATCGTGTATATATTGGAATGAAAAACACCGTAATCAGTAATGACTGTTTAAAATTTTAAATATAGATAAATCATTACCCTCTGGCCTGCATTGAAGACATCTAATTCCATTTATTCACTTGTTGTTCGTTATCATTAAAGACCGGACAATTTAATTTATTCTTATCAGCGAAGTAACGGTAAGAGCGGACCTTCGATTTGAATAATACATTCTGAATAAAACAAGTTATTTACTGAACTGGTCGACACAGTAGATAAGATATTGGATTTTTATCGCCCGGGCGTAACATTTGGGGCGGGCTTATTATTACATTTACATTGCAATAATTATTTTATTAAATTTTAGTTCAAATTTGGTTGGATATTATTATATAATTACAAATGATATTATTATTTATTTTTTTATTGTGTTGTGGGATAATGTTGTTGGCTTTTTCTGTTAATATATTATTGACTAATAAATATATCAACGAGGATACACCATCATTAGTTTTATGTTTAGAGTGTTCCAATATACACTCTTTATCCTAAAGTAGCAAATATACAATTATATACAATATATACAATACAAATTAATATCAATCTTCTTCATTTGAAAAATATGTTTGTATGACTGCATATTTTTCTAAATTGTCTTCAGTGAAATTACTTCTTTTAGAAGTCAATAAATCTTTAAACCTAGAAAACGATCGTTCTACGTCACAACTCGT